CAGGCAGAGGAACAGGGGAACCCAGGAAGACTGAGTTTGGAAACATGCAAAGTCGCTGGAGACAAAGCGCTGGGGGGAGGGAAACGTGCCCGGAACGGGCCGAAACACCTGGGAGCGAGTGCAGGGAACAGGCACGCGAGGGCAGCGAGAGCTGGGCAGGCTGGGCGGGCAGCACGACGTGGGGCGAGTCAATGGCCTTTCTCTAGATCGGGTTTTCTCAAACCGTTCCGCGGTGCACCGGTGCGTCACCAGCCGTCGGAGGTGTGCCGCGGAGAACAGCAGATTCAAAATGGCCGCCTTTTTTCTCAATAACTTTCCCCCTGACCCTTCCCCCCCCCCGGCAACCTTTTTTGGGGAGGGGGCTCAACAAAAATCCTTGGTGTTCCTCATTAAAAAAATCATCGTTTGGTGTTCCTCGGTCTTAAAACGTTTCAGAAACACTGGTCTCGGCACGGCAGAGCCAGAGAGACGGAGAAGAGCTCTGTGTATTTACAAGAAGGGCAACCCGCCTGCGACGGAGACGGGCTGCCTGGAAGCCTGGGGCATACGCGCGTCACCACAGCTGAGAGCGGGGGACGGGGGAATATTGGCAGGGCAGGAGAGGGGCCAGGGCAGCGCCGGGCGTGAAACAAGGAGGAAGGCCGTGAATGGAGAACCAGCCTGAGCATCTGAAAACTTCTCCCAAAGGCAAAACCTTTGTCCGTGGGGTCGTCTCCCGGAGGACGGGCAGGAAGCTTTGGGCCGGAGCGCAGGGCAGGGGCTGGAGGGAGCTCCAAGGTATTTCCTTGCGTCTGTTGGGCCAAGGAAGCCGAAAGAAGCCGGGTGGCAAAGTGGGCGCTGGGCTCCGCTGCGGGTGTGGTGGCTGCCGGCCTCACCCCCAGACAGTCTCCTCAGGCCGTGGAGTCCTGGGTCACCAGGTTGAAGACGTTGCTCTCCATGGACAGCTGCCATTTGCCCCAGTTCCTCTGGATCTCGGCCTGCACCTAGGACAGCCCAGCGAGAGTGGCCCAGTCACCGGCGGCCTGCCCCACTCGCAGCCCCGCAACCCGCCGGAAGTGGAGGCCCGAGACCCCCCTTGGCTCAAGGACTCATTCAGGTTCCACCCGGGGCTTGGAGACCCCCCGGGGCGGGATGCCGGGGTCGTTTGTCTGCGGGCCAGTGGGAGGCAGCTTTTACGTCCAATCCGCGATCCCCAAGCCAGAGCCCAGCCCCCGTCACAGCTCTCGATCGCTGTAAGGCAGGAGGGGCCTGGGTCCAAGGGCACAATCCCTGCACTACTGCACGGGGGAGGCAAATCACAGCCTGACACAATGCAGCGCATGTGCACATCCATGAGTGTGCGCCGCACGAGTCTCTGTGCACGTGGAGGCGGGTGTGCTCAGGCGAGTGCAGGAGGGAAGTCACTCACCTCCCCATTCAGGAAGCAGTACAGCAGAGCCACCAGGAACCCCTGAAATGCCACGGGAGGGGAAGACATTTCAACAAACAAGCAAGTTGCTGCATTTCCACACCCTCCTGGAAAGCCCAGGCCAGAATCCCCCCAAGAGAGTTGTCTGTGGCCACGTAGGCCCGCTCGGAGCCCCGCCCCTGCCCTGGGAGCCAATCAGCGATGCCCCTTCCTTGGGAATGGCCGGGGGACTGGACTCAGGACATGGTCATTGCAGGGGCGAGCAAGGAGCTCCGGGCTGGCAGACAGGGGTGTCTGGCGCACAGCAGCCTCTGGGGCGTCCCAAGGGCCAGCCGCCTGGCAGGTCTTCCCGTTGGATCCCAGAAGAGAAGGCTGCCCGGAGAGGGGCTATGGCCTTTGTCCGGTGGTCTAGGCCATGGGCCAGGGCCTCGTGCTTAGCAGCGGGGCTCTCTCCCTTTCGTCTCCCCAATTTATAAATGGCCCGTCCCTGTGCCTGGCGCCAGCGTGCGGAGTCACCCGGAAAGCATTTATGGAGTTGTGTG